CTTAGTCAAAAAAAAAAAGAAACAATAGGAGAACTCGAAAACCTGTACAATTCCTTCAATATATAACATGGAAAAGATGCGACTCTTACGGGAGATGATTGTTTAAGAGGCATCATCAATATATAAACTGAAAAGATGTGACTTTTATGGCATTGTGGCTTCTTTAAGAGGCGCCATTGTATAGCGGTGACTTGGATGGGATGAAGACGTCGATTCGCAAAGTAAATCAATGATGTCATAATCTCATCTTAAGGAAAATTTCATCCTTTAGATTAGATTTTCAGGGTAAACTCCACCACTGGATCTAAATTTTTTTTTCCTATAAAAAAATGATGACATCATTTTCAGTTTGCTATTATATATAGATACTTAAAACAGAATTTTTGTCTAATATCCACTTCAGACCACACAACAATTTTCACCGTAACAAAAGACAGGATACGCAAAGATGTGCCCGATTTCTATGTTTATTTTGCTAGTTTTCATTATTAAAAATTTCTTGCCTAAATGACTTAATAATACAATTCACTATTAAAAAATTAACAAATTAGTTAAAATAAGTTGACAAACGAAATTTTAATTTTGGACTAGACTTTGACCCGCGCGCCTGCGCGGGTATATTATTATTTTGTAAACTTCAAATTTAATTAAAATGTATATATAGATACATATTTTATTTATTTATTTTGGATCAAAACTGAATTCAATATTATATATTTTATAACTGAAATTTCAAATGAAATTATATTTTACTATAAATTTAAATGATGTTATTATTTTAAGATATTTGGAAAACAATGACTAATTGATATGATATTTTGAAAAAAAGGAATTTATTATTTATTATGTAACACAAAAAATTAATAATTCAAGTTCACATAATTATGAACTAATTTAAAATAATTGGGCCATCTACCGGTATTTTCTTAAAGCCCATAAACAATCTGTTTTATTACAAACTTAACACTCAAATATATAAGAATTTGCATCTTAAAAAAAAACAAAATTTGGTAAAATAAAGAAACATATGGTAAAGACGTTAACTACGTGTCAATTGTTATTGTCTTAACGTTTCTGTCGGTGTCTTCTCTCCCCTAACTTATTATCTTCTTCTATTCATCTTCTTCTTTAGAGAAGATGATACCTTCGGAACAAAAGTATTTATCAGTACAAACGATTGATCATCGGAACAGATGTTATGTTGTTTGCGAAAAAATCACGCGATTTGATTCAGGATATACATGCATCATATATCAGGTTAGACTTTCCGATGTTAAATCATTATAGTTCGTATTTGTTTTTCTTTTTTCATCAGATAGATCCGATTTCTCTATCTTGATAATATATTGTCGTTAACATCTATAGATCTGCAATAACTTGAAGATGTCAAGACATGCAATGGAGTAAGTAATTTTTTTTTTTTTTAAATATCTTTCCAAAGGTATATCAGCTTCTGAAGTGATTGTAAATCTTAAGGGTTTTTGTAAAATATGTTGTTAGATGATACAAACTGCTGTGGAATTAAGATTTGTGTCAACAATTCTAATACTTGTCTACTCATAATTTGTCTATTTTATTATACAGTGAAAGGAGGACAAATATTGGAAGCAACTTGTAGTTCTACAATAAGACAGACTTAAGAGATAAGTCTACTTTTTAATATTTATCTAATCTATTTATAATCGAGTATACAAACTGCTGTGAAATAAAGGTTTGTGTTAACAATTCTAATACTCATCTACTCGTAATTGGTCTATTTTATTATACAGTGAAAGGAGGAAATATATTAGAAGCAACTTGTAGTTCTACAATTAAAAAGACTTAAGAGATAAGTCCACTTCTCAACATTTATGCTATGTATAATCGTTAAGCTATGAGTGCAGTTGTAGCAAGAATCTAAACTTCTGGTTATAAGAAATAGATGCCTATATTGTGTAGCTTGATGATTAACCGGAATATAATCTTTCTTTTTATATATATGGAACAATCTGGCTTCTATATTTCATACTTAACAATACTTGTTATTAATATGATTTCTATGCCAACTTTGTTTCAGGTTATTGAGTTCATTGACCAGAAACTATGAATGTAAGCATACACAGAAAAGAATTATACCTTGGCCACTACATCTACATTAAAAAATACTAAGGTTAGATTCTCAAACCTATCGAAATAGTGTAGGAAATGTTCTATTATGATTTGACAGGTTAGTTTAGAACAAATTGACTTTTGTTTTGTATAGTTTATTTCTGCTAAGTTATCGGTGGTTTATTTGGCGAAAAAAAATGAATTGCTTGACTGTGTAATAATGATTGTGGTATGATTAATTTTGAAAGGATCATAAACACTAAAATAACACTCCATCTATATTAAATATGTCGAACAAATTATACCAAAATAAAAAGGTTAAAAAGAACTAAAACATTGTTCAAAACATTAAAAAAAAAACCAAGACATAATTCATTCCTCTTCTCTGTTTTCAAGGTTGTTAAACACTTATTTGAAAACGACATTCTTAGTCTTCCTTTGAGGCTTTCCATCCTTGTCTACAATAAGAATTTTCAATCCTTTCTTTGAGGTCACCCTAGAAATTGCAACATAGAGCTGACCATGAGAAAACACTGGTCTAGGAAGAAATAAACCTACTTGAGAGAGCGATTGTCCTTGGCTTTTGTTGATAGTTATTGCAAAAGCCACAGCTAAAGGCAACTGTCTTCTTCGCATCTTGAAAGGAAGTTTCTTGTCTGATGGATGAATCAACAACCTAGGAATATAAACTGTATCCCCAACTTTCTCCCCAGTAAGTATTCTAGCCCCCACCATGAAATCCATCATCTCTGTTATTTGGAGTCTGGTTCCATTCATTAAACCCCCTGTCGAATTAATATTCCTGAGCAACATAACAGGACAACCAACCTTCAACCTGAGACTATGGTTCGGCAGTCCGGAAACTTTAATACTGTTCAAAAAGTCAGAACTGAGTGCTTGATTATTTACTGACGTCAAATCAGATGGGTCAATACTGTCGGAACTAATAAAAATCCTTTCTTCACCTGAAAAAACATAAATAAAGAAACACTGTTAATGTTTAAAGTGAATATAAGAGTTTACAGTATGTAGAAAGAATAGAAAGAATTGACTAACCATCAAGCTTAGATAACATATGATCATTAATCATATTCACATCTTCATTAGTTGGACACAAGATTGCCCTTAAAGAATCTTATTCGTAAAGAAAAAAAAACACAACTGAAACAAATAGATGTTTCTTCTACTCCAACTCATCCTTCTCAAGTTTTATTAACTTGATGCATTGTTTCTTCGTAGTAGAATTGAGATCATCTAATTCCTCCTTTCTCTTTGATGATGGAGTAGTCTCACCATATGATCCATCTTTGCTTGAATTTTCACTCTGCGTAGAAACCTGACAAAATCCAACGTCTTAGTGGAATATATGATAAAAAGCTATAAAATATTTGTATTTTCGACCTTGTCCGAAGTAACAATTGCAGACATGGTGAGACGTTGATCATCTCCTTCCTGAGCTTCAGCTTCGTCTACTTCAGCTTCGGCTGCTTCAGCTTCAAGTTTAACCAATTCGTCAAGAGTCCACACCTTGGATATTTTATAAGTTTCAACACCATAGGAAACATTATCCTTGTTAATTTGCACCCCAAAGTGAAATGTTTTCCCAATAGCTCCTTTTATTTCTTCTGGTAGTAGCTCTGGATCCTCAATCTTTAAAATAAATGATATGAGTGCGGTAATGTAATATATATAAACTTAGATAAAATATTACATTCTACATTTATGTTAAAAAATTACAAACATAATTACCTCATTGTAAGAGCCATCCCAAAGTTTTTCAGCTTTACAACCAACTACCTTCTGAGCTTCACTGTCAAGAAGCATCATCTTGGCATTGTTGTGGCCATCTTTAACCAGCAGATGGAGTTTGTATCTACATCAAACAGAATAAGTTATTATTGTTTTTCTAAAACAAACAGTTTCTTGGGAAAATAATTTAGGATTACTTTGGTTCGACATTTGATACATTTCCATGGCATGTATCACAACGCCATAATGGTTGCGCGGAGGCAGACAATACGGTTTCACGTCTGATCCTTGAAACCTTTTTGGTGCATTTACAACATCCAAAATAAAACCAAGCCCAATCTGTATCATTACCATAAATGGTACATGTAACTCTGCACTTTTCAATCTGTAGAAATATAAAATATAAGACAAATAATAACAACTTAATATCAATGAATATACAGCAAAAAAAAAATTTAACCAACGAAAAAGGACAGAGTTATACCTCTGTTGCATTTAACATTTCAGCTAATGTTTTCACTGGATAAGTAAGCCACATTTCTCGCTTGCGCCTAAAATTCTTTTTTGTTACAACAACTCCAGTTGTTGTCAAGGCAAGATCATCTTCGGATAACCTTCAATTTAGACATACAATATTATATTTATAATCAGAGGATGATGAGCTTCAGTTAGACATTTATGAAACAAAAATAAGCACTTACAACTTCATATACTCAGCAGATTCATGAATGCTTGGATTAATTGTCAGATCGGTTGAATCAAATGAATTTGTGACTTGTAACTCGCCTATACATTTCAGAAACTACAAATGTTAATATATCTAAGAATAATGATATTTTAAAACTCTAACCATACGCTTAATTGCAACTAACCTCTATAGGAAGTTATCTTTGCAAAACGGATCAAGCATAAAATGATCTTTTTATCTACTTCTTGAGATATTTCTTGAATTTGGTCTGGAAATTTTCCCCAGAGACAGCATGGAATTCTGTGGTCACTATAAAATATGTAAAATTAAAAATCACTGTCCATATCATAAAAACAATCAAAAAATATATAAATTGATATCAAAATCTACCTCGTGTTTCTTAAGTAGAATTCACATTTGTTCCTTCCTTCACCGCTCACTTGAACAGTCTGCATATCAGAGACATCAACAACTTGTCCAAAGACATCTGTAAAACACAAATCAATGACACGATACATTATGTTTACAGAATACAATTATATGTTAACAACAAACATATAAAATAAGAAATCTTACCAATCAGAAAATCAGGGTCTAGATCTCCACTGGAGATAGATTTAAAAGAGGCCAAAGATAAAAAGAGATTATCTATTTTGACATCCGAGGAGCTGAATGATGTGTCATTGGTTATGGAAATTCTGTATGGATGAGCTGTTGTTCTATAATGCCCCTTTGCCGGAGATACAAAGAAAGTATCAATAACCCTCCACTGGTTGATAGGAAAATCTCGTTGAACTTTAGGAACAAAGCCTTGTTTGCAAGAAGCATGTATTTTAGCACCCTGAAAAAAAAATGAAGAGATATTATTACAAACACTTACAATACATATAATGTTGATAATGATATTCAGTATACTTACAGTTTCATCGGCAAGTATCATCTCTAAGGAATCACCACCAAACTTGGTTTGCTGCCTCCATGAATGAACTGCTTTGACATTAATACACCATTCTGTTTTCCAGGGTTTGATGTCATTAATGAAGTTTTTAGCTTTTGGAGCCATAAAGTAAACAATGGAGAGAAGTGGGAGATGAATAATACGTTAACAATTATGGTTATACATATATATAGTCATACAGTTGTTAGGGTTTTAAAATTAAGAATGTAGATAGAAAGAGCATATTAAATGGATATACCAGGATTTTAGGAATAATATATTCACAATTGGTTTTGATTATAGTTGTTGCATATATATAGGATATCAAGAATATTGTTGTGATTTTATACCAGTGTGAGTTTATATGTAAACTTGTTTGACTTGTTACAATATATACCCACGTAAGAATTTCTGGTAAGATATTGTGATAGGACAATTGCTATATCTACATAACGAAACTATCAATTTTATTAAATCGCATATCTATCTAATTATTTAATAGGAAATCTACAAATATAAATCACCAACAAAAAGATATGCTATTTTTAAGGGCTAATTATTGTTATACATAATATTTATATTTGTTAGGATTTATTATAGATATAAATGGTCCTAGGTAGTAGACTACTTATAAGTAGATGAAAATAGTGTCTCTATTTTAATAGAGTAGATATCATCTATTCATTATATATTCATATTAACAAACTTTAACATAGTAGTAAGGTGTTAATTTATTTTAAACTAAAATCTAAATTATTACGGATAACCACTAAAACAACCGGAATGAAAATATGAAGAGGAAAATAATTTAAGAATTAATATGAACATTTGTTGCTTATTGTACTTTTTCAAATTTGAACTACTTCCGTTTCAATGTAGTTGTTGTTGTAGAATATAATTTTTGTTTTAAAATAGTGTCGTTTTATAATATCATTACAGAATTTATTAAATTTATATGCTATTCTATTTTTTTATTATTTCAAATATAATTAGGTTTCTAGGTATGATGTTTTAATTCGAAAAAATGCAAAACTAATTTTGTTTAATCTGTATACACAAACTTAAAACGACAAATAAAATGAAATGAAGAAAATAGTAATCAGTTTTCTATAACTCATTAAATAAAAAGGATCACAAAAACAAACATATATAAAATGTCATAAAGTTTTCTGCATTAATTTTTCTATAATTTACTACTCATTGTACTTTTGAAATTTGATAAGTAATAAATTTTTCCATAATTTGTTATTCATAAATTGTTTGTTGTTGAAGGGACACATATGATGAGTGGTTAGATTATAACAGTAAAAATTAGGTATAAAATTTTTGTTTTGCAGGTGATTTAACTGTAAATGTAAATTTATTGATGTAGATTTTTTTTTTTTTTTGCAGAGATTCTGTTGCAGTTAAGTTGGTTGCATTTTCAAATTTTTTCATGTAGATATTTTAAAATGAAACTAGATTTTGAACCCGCACATCCGTGCGGGTATTTTTTCATTTTATAAAAATATAACAAAACTTTTCAAATATATATGATTTATATTCTATTGTTATATATTGTATAATTATATAATTTTAATTATTTTTATATAATATATTGTTGTAAGTTTTAAAATAAAAAAAATATTTATATATAATTTATTATATAATTTATTTGTTGTGAGTTACAAAAATATATGTTAACATTTGTTGTAAAAAAATGTTCTATGATTTAAAAACCTCAATATGTTTTAAAAGGGAGTGATATTTATTTATTTATTTGAATAAAAGAAAATTTTTAAAACAAAATATTTTCCTTTTACCAATTTAATATATTTTATATTCATTTCACATAGCATTTTATTTTAATATAATATATAATCTAACTAAATTATAAAATATAACAATTTTTATTTTAATTAACAGTAATATATATATTTATATATATTAATCACGAAATTAAATAATGCATATTTTATAAAAATATTTAAACTTCTTAGTAAGATCTTGTTAGATATTTTCTCAACAAATTTATTACTAATATCTTATTAGTTATTAAAATATTCCTCCAATTATATATATTTGATTGATTAGTATAAATAATCAAATATATCATATTAATGAAATGGTCCAATATGACTTTTTTTTGTAGTAGATGTAAATGGTACTTCTCTTTTAATAGAGAAGATATGTGATGTATATATAAAATAATTATTTTATATCAAATTAAAATACTATACAAAATATAAAATATCAAAATCAATTTCTTATTTAGTGTAATATATAAATGTATGTTATTCAATAAAATTAATAGTTAATAAATTTATTCAAAAGTGAATAAAATTATTCTATTGTTTTGGTTGCTGTAATTTTAGAAATTAATTTAAATCATGACGGAAAAAATATTGGTAGAATTTTGATGTAAGTTTTTAATTTTTTAAATAAAGATACATAATACATAATTGGTAAGATTGAATGATTTAAATATAAATAAAATTAAAGAAATAAGATAAATTTTAAACACATTCAAAAACAGTAAAAAAGAGTCAAAAGACAATAAAGGCTAGCTAGTAGGGGTGGGCACGGATTGGATATCCAGATTTTTCAAGGTATTTGTGATTTGTTTCAAATGTTACGAATATCTAATTTTAGTACTTGCTTTGTTTCAAAAAATACAGATATCCTGAAAACGGATATTCGGAAAATAAATAGATATTTACGGATATTTACGAATATTTACGGATATCTCATTCATTTTGATTAATACGAATAATCTTAACATTTTGATACAAATTTGCTTTGCAAAATTTTTTTTTGCATGATATATAAAATAAAAATTAAAAGAATGGTGAATTTACATGATTTTGTAATTTTTAAGTTTAAAAATACAATTATAATAACACAAAATTTAGGAAAAAAATATAATTGTCATAAATATTTTCTCTCTTCTTATGTAATACTTTTATATAAGTAATAATATGAATAGAATTGTTCAAAATCATGTGCTAGAATAATAATTATATAATTTTATACATTTAAATTTTTAAATATAGTAAAGATATAAATATATTTATATATTTCTGGATCAGATCGGATATCCGCTTCCAAAATTTTAATATTTGTGATTTGCCCTGATTTTAATGAATAATTATTTTTAGTATTTGCTTTGATTCGAAGATGTACGGATATTCAGAATTTTCGGATCAAATCGAAACAAATAATGAATCGAATCAAATTTAACGGATAAAATGTCCAGCCCTACTAGCTAGTATACAAAATGGTCGTGGTCTTTTCGGTCAAGTAAGATGTTGATTGCCCTATATTGGTCTTTAATCTAAAGTGGTTAAAGCTAGGGTTTGCACAAGCCTACTACTTGGTATTTTTGGTATATTTAGTACTCGGCTTGTCTTGTTCGAGTAGTTAAATTTTGGACTTGTACTTGGTTTGGTGAAAATGAGTACTTACGGTTTTAAGTATTTGCTAAAAATTGACGGACTTACAAGTTACTTGCATTGTTTTATTACTTGTTACTTGCACGTTACTTACAAGTTACTTGATAATTATTAGTAAATTATTTGATAATCCATTGGAATTTAAAGGTAAATAACTTTATTATATATAAATAGCATGTCATTGTTTTTCATGTGTATTAGCCAACTCCGGAAATAAAATATATAATAAGAAGAAAATTCCAAGATATATATATATAAATATATAATTTATGTTTGATTCACTTCTGAATATATAAATAAATGAGTTATATTTGTGCATTAACAAAAAATGAGTAACAAATCAAAAAACACTAAGTAGTTAATTTTCTTTTAATATTTAATATTCTTTTGTACGTACAAGTAATTGAAATTGATTATTTGATTCGATTTGTACAGAACAAGTACTCGTCTTTAAAAATCATGTACCGATCAAGTACCAAATAGAAGTTAAGTAAAATTATTTGTGGCCACTTATAAAATGGAATAGATAAATTTTAATTAACTAATGAAATAGATATCTAGTATTTAATAAATAAAAGAGACAAGTAAATGATAACAAGTAACGAACCAAGTATTTAAAAATAAAAATGAATTTGATACTTGACTGCGTGTAATAAAATATGTTTACTTGTTACTCGACTTGATTGTATCAAGTACTTATTTTTTCAAGCCGAGCCGAATCAAGTACCAAGTACCAGCCAGATATCAAGTAATTGTGCCTAACCCTAGTTAGAACATGATTAATGGGGGAGGTCCTAATGAAATTCTTATAGCATGATTTGTTACTTTTTTTTTGTTAAGAGACATATTTTATATCTCTTATTTATGATATGTTTGTTAGTTAAAAGTTATTCTTTCTTTTTTAATTTCTAATTACACTAAGATATCTTCCCAAAAAGATCCCATTGATCATGGTCTTAGTTGCCTTATTGGAAATTAAATCACAATAAACCAGTAAATTAAACAAGGATAATCTGTTGGTCTTTGTCTTAGAGTAACTCTTATTAACTTGATGTCCATATCTATTTTATACGCATTTTGAAACTAAGGAAATTTTTTTTCTCTTCAGCCACCAACCTAAAAACTTTTCACTCAATAAAAGGGCAATCTCACAAATCAGAAACGATTCACTAACTTTCTGTTCTCTTTGTAGCTCCCAGTATAACAAAATGAATAACTTTATGAAATTATTCGCTGTTTTTGTCTTGTTTGTCCAAATCCAAATAGCCTTGTCTCAATCAAATTTGTCTCCTCCGGGACCTAATCTTATACAGCAACTCTGCAAAAGCAACCGTTATCAAACTCTATGCGTCTCTACTCTTAATCTTGATCCTAGAAGCAAAACCTCCGATATCCAAGGTGAGATACTAAATATAAATAATGTGAAAGAATTATTCACGTAACATCTTTCATCATCTTCCACTGATGCAAAGATATGTAGCTAACAATTATGCATTTATCATGAAAAAAGGGCTTGCGTCGATCTCTATCGATGCGACGACGAAGAAAGTGAAAGAATCGTTAGATTACCTCACCTCCGTCTATAAGAAAATTGGAGGAGGTGGCCGTGGAGACGTCGAGAGATACGGAACTTGCATGGAGGAGTACGGTGCGGCGGCTAATAGGTTTTTACCGGCAGCTTTGGGTGATCTAAAGGCTAAGAAGTATTCTCTGGCGATGTCTGACATGAAAGAAGTTGTGTCTGTGCCTGGTATTTGTGAAGACCAGTTCGCAGGATATTGTCCGTTGCCTGTTACCCAACGTAACAAAGCCGTGCATGATATCGCCGATATGACTGCTGACATCATCAAAACTTTTGTCAAATAGATGATAATTTTGATATATATTTTTTTTTGCGATTAGTGTTGCAAAAAAATTCGAAAGGAAAATTAGTAATATACTCCGTGTTCAATAAAACCGAATAAATATGTTTTTATCATTACTGTTGACGAGTACAAGACTGGGAAAAAGAGATCGGTTTGGTTTTACAAAAATACTTAAAACAGAATTTTGGTCTAACATCCTTTGTACTCCACTTCAGACCACACAACAATTTTCACCGTAACAAATGACATGGTAAAAGTTAGTTAAAATAAGTTGACAAACATAATTTTAGTTTTGGATATCATCTATTCATTATATATTCATATTAATAAACTTTAACCATAGTGGTAAGGTCTTAATTTATTTTAAACTAAAATTTATATTATTACGGGTAACCATTAAAACAACAGGAATGAAAATATGAAGAGGAAAATAATTTAAGAGTTAATATTGAACATTTGTTGCTTATTGTACTTTTTCAAATTTGAACTACTTCCGTTTCAATTTAGCTGTTGTTGTAGAATATAATTTTTGTTTTAAAATAGTGTCGTTTTATGATTTCAATGCAAAATTTATTAAATTTATGATATTCTATTTTTTTATGATTTCAAATATAATTAGGTTTATAGGTATGATGTTTAAGTTCAAAAAAATGCAAAACTAATTTTGTTTAATCTGTATACACAAACTTAAAACGACAAATAAAATGAAGTAAAGAAAATAGTAATCAGTTTTCTATAACTCATTAAATAAAAAAGGATCACAAAAAAACATATATAAAATGTCATAAATTTTTCTGCATAAATTTTTCTATAATTTATTACTCATTGTACTTTTGAAATTTGATAAGTAATAAAATTTTCCATAATTCGTTATTCATAAATTGTTTGTTGTTGAAGGGACACATATGATGAGTGGTTAGATTATAACAGTAGAAATTAGGTATAAAATTTGTTTTGCAGGTGATTTAACTGTAATTTTTTTGATGTAGATTTTTTTTTTTTTTTTTTGCAGAGATTCTGTTGCAGTTAAGTTGGTTGCATTTGCAAATTTTTTCATGTAGATATTTTAAAATGAAATATGTGATGTATATATAAAATAATTATTTTATATCAAATTAAAATACTATACAAAATATAAGATATCAAAATAAATTTCTTATTTAGTGTAATATATAAATGTATGCTATTTAATAAAATTAATAGTTAATAAATTTATTCAAAAGTGAATAAAAATTATTCTATTATTTTGTTTGCTGTAGTTTTAGAAATTAATATAAATCATGACTAAAAACAAATATTGGTAGAATTTTGATGTAAGTTTTTAATTTTTTAAATAAAGATACATCATACATAACTAAAAAGATTGAATGATTTAAAAATAAATAAATTACAGAAATAAGATAAAGTCTAAACACATTCAAAAACAGTAAAAACGAGTCAAAAGACAATAAAGGCTAGCTAGTATACAAAATGGTCGTGGTCTTTTTCGGTCAAGTAAGATGTTGATTGCCCTATATTGGTCTTTGATCTAAAGAGGTTAAAGCTAGGATTGGACACAAACCGAGTACTTGGTATTTTTGGTATACTTAGTATTTGGTTTAGTTTATATGAGTAGTTAAATTTTGGATTTGTACTTGGTTTGGTGAAAACGAGTAAATATGGTTTTTAAGTACTTACTAAAAGTTGACGGACTTACAAGTTACTTACATTTTTTTATTACTTGTTACTTGTACATTATTTACAAGTTACTTGATAATTATTAGTAAATTATTTGAAAATTCGTTGGAATTTAAAGGTAAATAATTTATTATATATAAATAGCATGTCATTGTTTTTCATGTGTATTAGCCAACTCCAGAAATAAAATATATAGTAAGAATAAAATTCCAAGATATTAATATAAATATATAATTTATGTTTGATTCACTTCTGAATATAGAAATAAATGAGTTATTTCTTCATTAACAAAAAATGAGTAACAAATCAAAAAACACTAAGTAGTTAATTTTCTTTTAATATTTAATATTCTTTTGTACGTACAAGTAATTGAAATTGATTATTTGCTTCGATTTGTACATAACAAGTACTCGTCTTTAAAAATCATGTACCGATCAAGTACCAAATAGAAGTTAAGTAAAATTATTTGTGGCCACTTATAAAATGGAATAGATAAATTTTAATTAACTAATGAAATAGATATCTAGTATTTAATAAATAAAAGAGACAAGTAAATGATAACAAGTAACGAACCAAGTATTTAAAAATAAAAATGAATTTGATACTTGACTGCGTGTAATAAAATATGTTTACTTGTTACTCGACTTGATTGTATCAAGTACTTATTTTTTCAAGCCGAGCCGAATCAAGTACCAAGTACCAGCCAGATATCAAGTAATTGTGCCTAACCCTAGTTAGAACATGATTAATGGGGGAGGTCCTAATGAAATTCTTATAGCATGATTTGTTACTTTTTTTTTGTTAAGAGACATATTTTATATCTCTTATTTATGATATGTTTGTTAGTTAAAAGTTATTCTTTCTTTTTTAATTTCTAATTACACTAAGATATCTTCCCAAAAAGATCCCATTGATCATGGTCTTAGTTGCCTTATTGGAAATTAAATCACAATAAACCAGTAAATTAAACAAGGATAATCTGTTGGTCTTTGTCTTAGAGTAACTCTTATTAACTTGATGTCCATATCTATTTTATACGCATTTTGAAACTAAGGAATTTTTTTTTCTCTTCAGCCACCAACCTAAAAACTTTTCACTCAATAAAAGGGCAATCTCACAAATCAGAAACGATTCACTAACTTTCTGTTCTCTTTGTAGCTCTCAGTATAACAAAATGAACAACTTTATGAAATTATTCGCTGTTTTTGTCTTGTTTGTCCAAATCCAAATAGCCTTGTCTCAATCAAATGTGTCTCCTCCAGGAACTAATCTTATACAACAACTCTGCAAAAGCAACCGTTATCAAACTCTATGCGTCTCTACTCTTAATCTTGATCCTAGAAGCAAAACCTCCGATATCCAAGGTGAGATACTAAATAATGTGAAAGAATTATTCACGTAACATCTTTTATCATCTTCCACTGCCTCATACATATTGCAAAGTTATATAGCTAACAGTTATGCACTTTTCATGAAAAAAGGGCTTGCGTCGATCTCTATCGATGCGACGACGAAGAAAGTGAAAGAATCGTTAGATTACCTCACCTCCGTCTATAAGAAAATTGGAGGAGGTGGCCGTGGAGACTACGAGAGATACGGAACTTGCATGGAGGAGTACGGTGCGGCGGCTAATAGGTTTTTACCGGCAGCTTTGGCTGATCTAAAGGCTAAGAAGTATTCTCTGGCGATGTCTGACATGAAACAAGTTGTGTCTGTCCCTGGTATTTGTGCGGACCAGTTCGCTGGATATTCTCCGTTGCCGGTTACCCAACGTAACAAAGCCGTGCATGATATCGCCGATATGACTGCTGACATCATCAAAACTTTTGTCAAATAGATGATAATTTATATATATATTTTTTTTGCGATTAGTGTTGCAAAAATTCGAAAGGAAAATTAGTAATATACTCCGTGTTCAATAAAACCCAATAAGATATGTTTTTATCATTTCTGTTGACGAGTATAAGACTGGGAAAAAGAGATCGGTTTGGTTTTACAAAATTACTTAAAACAGAATTTTGGTCTAACATCCTTTGTAATTCACTTCAGACCACACAACAATTTTCACCGTAACAAATGACATGGTAGAAATAAGTTAAAATAAGTTGACAAACATAATTTTAGTTTTGGATATCATCTATTCATTATATATTCATATTAATAAACTTTAACCATAGTGGTAAGGTTTTAATTTATTTTAAACTAAAATTTAAATTATTACGAGTAACCACTAAAACAACAGGAATGAAATATGAAGAGGAAAATAGTTTAAGAATTAATATTGAACATTTGTTGCTTATTGTATTTCTTTCAAATTTGAACTACTTCCGTTTCAATTTAGTTGTTGGTATAGAATATAATTTTTGTTTTAAAATAGTGTCGTTTTATGATTTCAATGAAAAATTTGTTAAATTTATATGATATTCTATTTTTTATTATTTCAAATATAATTAAGTTTATAGGTATGATGTTTTAATTCAAAAAAATGAAAACTAATTTTGTTCAATCTGTATACACAAACTTAAAACAACAAATAAAATGAAATGAAGAAAATAGTAATCAGTTTTCTATAACTCATTAGATAAAAAAGATCAAAAAAAAACATATATAAAATGTCATAAATTTTTCTGCATTAATTTTTCTATAATTTATTACTCATTGTACTTTTCAAATTTGATAAGTAATAAAATTTTCCACAATCCGTTATTCATAAATTGTTTTTTTTTGCAGAGATTCTGTTGCAGTTAAGTTGGTTGCATTTGCAATTTTTTTCATGTAGATATTTTAAAATGAAATATGTGATGTATATATAAAATAATTATTTTATATAAAATTAAAATACTATACAAAATATAAAATATCAAAATCAAGTTCTTATTTAGTGTAATATATAAATGTATGTTATTTAATAAAATTAATAGTTAATAAATTTATTCAAAAGTGAATAAAATTATTCTATTATTTTGTTTGCTGTAGTTTTAGAAATTAATATAAATCATGACTAAAAACAAATATTGGTAGAATTTTGATGTAAGTTTTTAATTTTTTAAATAAAGTTACATCATACATAACTGGTAAGACTGAATGATTTACAAAATAAATAAAATTACAGAAATAAGATAGAGTCTAAACACATTCAAAAACAGTAAAAAAGAATCAAAAGACAATAAAAGCTAGCTAGTATACAAAATGGTCGTGGTCTTTTTCGGTCAAGTAAGATGTTGATTGCCCTGTATTGGTCTTTGATCTAAAGAGGTTAAAGTTAAGGTTGGACAATCGAGTACTTGGTATTTTTGGTATACTTAGTATTTAGTTTAGTTTATATGAGTAGTTAAATTTTGGACTTGTACTTGATTTGGTGAAAACGAGTAAATATGGTTTTAAGTACTTGCTAAAAATTGACAGACTTACAAGTTACTTGCATTGTTTTATTACTTGTTACTTGCACATTATTTACAAGTTACTTGATAATTATTAGTAAATTATTTGATAATTCATTGGAATTTAAAGGTAAATAGTTTTATTATATATAAATAGCATGTCACTGTTTTTCATGTGTATTAGCCAACTCCGGAAATAAAATATATAATAAGAAGAAAATTCCAAGATATATATATATAAATATATAATTTATGTTTGATTCACTTCTGAATATATAAATAAATGAGTTATATTTGTGCATTAACAAAAATGAGTAACAAATCAAACAACGCTAAGTAGTTAATTTTATTTTAATATTTAATATTTTTTTGTACGTACAAGTAATTGAAATTGATTATTTGATTCGATTTGTATAGAAAAAGTACTCGTCTTTAAAAATCATGTACCGATCAAATATCAAATAGAAGTTAAGTAAAATTATTTGTGGCCACTTATAAAATGGAATAGATAAATTTTAAATAATAATGAAATAGATATCGAGTATTTAATAAATAAAAAAGGCAAGTAAACGATAACAAATAAAGAGTCAAGTAAACGATAACAAATGAAATTCTTATAGCATGATTTGTTACTTTTTTTTGTTAAGAGATATATTTTATATCTCTTACTTATGATATGTTTGTTAGTTAAAAGTTATTCTTTCTTTTTTAGTTTCTAATTACACTAAGATATCTTCCCAAAAAGATCCCATTGATCATGGTCTTAGTTGCCTTATTGGAAATTAAATCACAATAAACCAGTAAATTAAACAAGGATAATCTGTTGGTCTTTGTCTTATAGTAACTCTTATTAACTTGATGTCCATATCTATTTTATACGCATTTTGAAAACTAAGGATATTTTTTCATCTCTTCAGCAACCAACCTAAAAACTTTTCACTCAATAAAAGGGCAATCTCACAAATCAGAAACGATTCACTAACTTTCTGTTCTTCTTGTAGCTCTCAGTATAACAAAATGAACAACTTTATGAAATTATTCGCTGTTTTTGTCTTGTTTGTCCAAATCCAAATAGCCTTGTCTCAATCAAATTTGTCTCCTCCAGGACCTAATCTTATACAGCAACTCTGCAAAAGAAACCGTTATCAAACTCTATGCGTCTCTACTCTCAGTTTTGATCCTAGAAGCAAAACCTCAAATCTCCAAGGTAAGATTATAAATCATTGTGACATAACAACTTGATTAATAACAATATTTCTCTATAAACATATGAGTAGATGGTTATGATTCAAAGTTATGTAGCCTAACAAATATACTTATATTTTTCATTTATTAGGCCTTGCGTCGATCTCTATCGATGCGACGACAAAGAAAACGAGCGAGACGTTAGCTTATCTCATCTCCGTTTTCCGGGGCATTACAGATCGCGCAGATTTTGAGAAGTACGGAACTTGCATTGATCAGGATTACGGTGCGTCTATCAAGAGGTATTTGCCGGCGGCTATAGCTAATCTAAAGGCTAAGAAGTATTCTGATGCGATAGCTAACATGCAAGACGTTGTGACGGCGGCGGGGGATTGTGAGAACCAGTTCGCCGGACATTCTCCTTTACCGTTGAGCCAACGTAACAAAGCCGTCCATGATATCGCCGATATGACTATGGACATCATCAAAACTTTTGTCTAGTAGATAATAAATTTATATTTATTATCTTTTTTTTTGTGCTATAATTGTTGCAAAAAAATTAAAGGGAAAATTAATAAGATAATATTATAGTTTTCATTTCGATTCACCAGTTTTTGATTTGATTAAACGTTTTTTAAAAATAAGTCGACAAAAATGTTTTAATGAAAAATATGTATGCTCTATTTGTGAGCAAAGATCTAATCTAAGAACATCCACAACCCATAATTTTTAACAAAAAATCTTTAACAATAAATTATTGTAATAATATGTGGGGCTCAAAATATTTAAGAATATGTGTCACAATTGCTTTTTACAGTCCTAATTTACGGATCTCTTTTCTGACAGCCTCTTCACGTTCCACCGCCGTATGGGAGTCCGCGATAAGTCAATTTTTTTAAAAAAATTTGGACAAAAAAAGAAAAAAGAATAAAATATTCCAAAAGTTGTTGTTAAGGATTTGTTGTTAAGGATTATGGGTTGTGGATGCTCTAATGGTAGTGTGCTTTTGAGTTTCTAATGGATTGTTGTTCTTTTTAATGTTTTATAGACCACTGACACTTGACAACTCGCAATTGATTCGTTTTTAATTTTTTTTTGGACAAAAAAAAAATTGAGAGTGGGGTTTCTTGGGATATTGATGACCTTAGAGACAGCTTCAAACAAGTTTTAAGTGTTTAGTTTCTCATTCTTGATTTTTGGTACTTTTGATGATCTGAGAATGTAATACAACCCAAAACACTATCCACAACAAACAGCTCTCTAGCCTCATCAAACGTCAACTATTGTTCGGTTTTCTCTTATGGCTGTATTTGACTGGTCCTGTCCTTGTTCCTGTTCATCAGCCCCATTGTCTTCTTCATCATCTTCATACAACACCATAACAACATTACCATCATCATCACCTTCTTCCTCTTCATCAAACTCTTCCTCCTCCTCCTCCTCCTCCTCGATCATCATCATCGTTCATACTTACACGAACAGAGTGAAACTCAGGAGGAGGAAGACAGTCTTCAGTAATAGCCTCACCACGTTTCATCACCAAATGCCTAATCACTCTCTCATCACCATCCAACATATCCCTTTGAACTCGTTCAAATGTTTAGCTTCCATCTCAAAGTTTAGCAGTATATAATGACCATTCTCTGCCTTTTGTATCTTATACGCCAGTCTACGCATTCCCCAATCACTAAAATTCCAAACTTTCCCCTTCTTCTCCTTCAAGAACTCTGAATAACATAACACACAATCACAGCTTTAACTATAGGAACCAATGTAGATTTGGTTGACAAAGGAGAAAACTTTTGATCACCTTGAACTTTCTCATTGACGTTTTCAACCTCATCAGCATGTTTTTCATGAATCAAGTAAACCAACTAATAGTGTCTCACTACACAAACAGAGGTTTACACATCATCAAAACAGAGTGGTATCTTCTACACAAAGGCGTAAGCATATATAAACCGGCTGAAACAATCAAACTTAGATTAAACCGAGTTTTAAGGAAGAACAACTTACTCATTTCTTCATTCAAGTCATTCTGAAGCTGAAGATCAAGAAACTCGTATAGCTCCTCTGTTTTCAAAGAACAAGAGTATAACTGTATAAGAGTATTTAGACCATGTTTATTGCAGTAGTTTAAGTAGATTCATTAGGATATTTTATAATTAAAAGAAAAGAAAAAAGAAAAAAAGTGAAGGGTTGTACCTTAATTAAGAGCACCCCCATTGAGAATTCAAATGTGGGTTCACACGGAAACCAAAAAAGAAAAAAAAAAATAACAAAAGCTTATAAAACCCTCTCTCCTAAAGTTCTCTCGGGTGAACTCATATTTCCTAAGGTTCAACACGTGGCGGCCAGAGATTGGTCTAGGTTTTTTTTTAAAAAAGAAAATCAAAAAGAAAAAGAAAATTAATAATAAAAAATTGATTCAATGAACCTCAAGAGGGGGTTCATTGATGTGGATGCTCGAGCATGTTTATTGGGGGTGCTTAGAAAGGGTGCTTAAGGGAGTGAAATGCTTAGTTTTGAAGAGAGAGAGTGTTCTTCAAAACTAAGCATCTCACTTCTCTAAACACCCTCTTAAGCACCCTCCCAATAAACATGCTCTAAGGTCTAGAAGGAACATTCCTTCTATCTCTCTCCCTTGCTTTTTCATCTTTTGTTCCTATCTCTTTATTTCTGTTTTTCCTCTCTCTAGTCCATTTAATTTTTTTTTCATTATGACCCACTTAAGAGATCTTTAAAATTTTTTTAGCAATAAACATGCTCTTATGTTTTCACCAAGTTCGTACACATTCATGTGATACTTGTTGCAAGTCCAAACTCATTATTATTATCATAAGATAGTTGGATTAGAACAGTAATATATGTTACATGTGGTTGGATTTATTAGTCATCCATGTTTTATTTTATTATCAGTAATAACACAGAAACAAGAAACAAGAGAGAGTATCTAGGGGCGTGATGGAAGTTCTTGACCATTAAGAAAGGAACTAAAAAGCGCGAGAGCTTCTTCAGGCTTATTGAGAGGAACCAAGTGTCCTGCTCCTCTCACCGTTACAAACGTTAACCCTCCCTCGTACTCCGTTATCCTCCCTCCAACCTTGACAACCAATCACATAACAAAAATTATAGACTTGAATACATAAATACCTAACATTAAATGTAGAATCTACTAACTAAAAATAATATGATTCATTCAATATGTGTATATCCTCCGTAAACAATAAATTTATATGATAAACCGTACGTAACCTGATGATTGTGGAACCAAGAGCGCCATTCAGATTTGACGGGAAGACCCAAAGCTTCAACACAATACCGACTTCCGATCACCGGCACTCTCCCGTCGGCGTCTCCACTGTTAGACACTAAAAAATATTTAACAGTCCATGCATCTATTCTTTCTCAAAGTTTAATTGAGAGAGCAGACATATTATTTCTATAGAGATGTAAATCCAAATAGACGTACGTACTAGTTTGGTGGATAAATTTAGTTATCATAGAATTCTCAGTGAGTTTACTTCATGAATCTCGTGTTATGTAATATCATTCCCATGAATCACCATTGTTTATTAATTTTTTTAAAAAAAAATTCAAAAATTACCATAATCTATTTTATCTTCTAAAATATAACTTAAAAAAAAAACAAACATCACTTCCTTCATGTTGAGTGTCTAAATACCATTCTTAAACTATTTTGTGGTTTGCGTTAAAAAAAAAAAAACTATTTTGTGGTTTTAGTTTGAAATTTACCCCAATAAATGGGATTTCTGCAAGAAGATAAAAGCAAAAATTGGTAAACATAAAGAAAATCAAATTCGTAGGCTTTATGTGAATTCTTTGTGTTCCTACAAGTATCTCGTGCAATATTATCATGTTTCAACAAGGATTTATTGGGTTCATCCACCATTAGAGCATCCACAACCGTGAGATTCATAGGAGTCCTTAAGAAAAATAGTATTTCGGATTTGGTAAAAATATTTCAGATTTTTTTTAAAAGGAAAAAGAAAAAAAAAAGATGATCATTCACGGGCTTCCACGTGTCCTGAGACCCATAAATAGTGTAAGGATTCACTAAAAAACAATCCTTAGAGCATCCACATCAATGAACCCCCTCTTGGGGTTCATTGATTCAATTGTTTATTATTAAAAAAATTTGATTTTCTTTTTGATTTTTTTTTAAAAAAAAAAAAAAAAAAAATTGACCAACCGCGGGTCGCCACGTGTCCCGGGACCCGCGCTACAGTGATGAACCGGGTTCACCGCAGAGAGTCTGCAAGAGGCAGGTTCATCACTATTCCTTATTTTAATTTTTTTTTTTTTTGAAAACCGTGTGAACCCCCTATCTGAACCCTTGATGGGGGTGCTCTTATATAGGAACTTTAAGAGCACCCACATCGGTAAACCGATGATGGGGTTCACAGAAAGTATTTTTTTTTACTTTTTTTTTACTTTTTTCTGTTTGTTTTTCTAAAAAAAAAAAAAAAAAAAAAAAGTTGAACCAATCGTGGGCCGCCACGTGGCGCGGGGCCCACGAAAACAGGGATGGATCGGTTCAGCCGAGAGAGACTAAGAGAGGCAGGTTCACTACTTTTTTATTATTTTAGTATTTTTTCTTCTCGTTTTGCGTGTGAACCCCCCTTGGGGTTTATTAATGTAGATGCTCTAAGAATCAAATCCTTAACATTTTATGGGGTCTACCGATTATTTAATTATTTTTTTTTTAAGAATTCTCCCTAAGGACTCTTTTGCGGATTCTCTTAGTCTCGCAACATATTTGAAAGTACTGTTCCGTTTCATAAATAATAATAACTTAGTTCAGGAGAAAAATAATATTGAATTAACGATATCGAATGAAAAATAAATACCAGCTATATAGAAACGTACCTATAAACCCATATTTTGAGACCAGCTTTGATAAGCTTACTATAGGTAGGCAACATCGAGGAGACCGTGAATTGGTATGTTTGCAATATCGAATCACTGTATCAGAATTAAAAAGAAATATACTATTTAATTTATCAACCTTGCTTTAATATAGATGATACGAGTTGTAAGACACATAATAATTAGGAAACTCACACACACACACACACACATATATATATATATATAACTTACTTGCAAACCTTCCACCTTGATACATCTCGTGTAGTGGCATGAAGAGACGTTCGAACATCGAGTCTGTTGAAATATTTTTCAGCATAATCAGAGTAACAAGGATCGTAACCTTCAAACCATCTCACTCGCTTGAACCAGTCTTTCTTCGCTGGAGACTTATCAAAAACTCCTAAGAAGGAAGCTGCTGATGAGTTATTGGTTGTGCACTTGGGAGCATATATATTATAAATATCAATCTCTTTGTATTTTTGGAACATTGTGTTCATGGCGACGTTGCATGGTTCCGACCAATTCGATGACTTGAAGTCACAGTTACGTTTTGCGGTGTCGTAGAGATTGTCGGAGATGACTGCATGGCTCCATGCGTATTCTAGAATTCCTTTGTTATCGTAGTCATCGTCTGTCAATGGATTGCCTACCTAAGTGTCACAAAATAAAATGGCTAAATTAATTCTATAATAGCATTGTTTAAAATCAACAAAAAGCGAAAATGTTAAAATGTAAAAACTTGCGGATTTGACAAAAAAAAAACTTGCGGATTAAACTTCATTTCAAATTAATTACATATATAAATTTCATTATTTGATAAAAAAAATTCATTAGAATGAAAGAATATCATATTAGATTTGGAAGAAAAATATTCAGCAAAAATTATAATTAAGTTTGAGTTATTATATTCAGTTTAATTATACTGTGCGGATCACCGGTCGAGTCTAACACTAAATCGTGTTTGATTAAAAGTTTCTTTTCAACAAGAAACATCGGTTAGATTGGATCAACGTTACGCTTTCCTCGTGCACGTAGTTAATATATAGTTTTTTTTATAACTAGTTAATATATTGCTGCACTCTAGTATAATATAATAAAATACGTACAATGAAGCCTTTGAGATTAATGAAAGACTCCTTTGGTTTAACTTTGTTTCGATCGTATATTTGCTCGGCTAGCTGAGGTGCGTAGTGACCTGTAAAGAGTATAACCCATACGACATCATATTTTATAATTTCCTAAATAATCAGATAAAACCATGTTTTAATGCTTCAGTTTTGAATGTACTTGTTTAATCTTATATCTTTGTCGCTTAAATTAGTTGATATTCTATATCCAGTTAGTAAAACTCGGGAAGAAACATGAGAGTAATTAACTAAGCTCACCGGCATAGCTTTCACCAGCGATGAAGAAATCACGAGACTTATATTGGGGATACCTTGCAAACCAAGCAACCATGAAGTTGTATGCATCTTCCGCTGTTGCAAAACATTTTCACTTTTATTTTCCTAAGATAGTTTCATTTAGTTTAGAGTATGCTTATCCATTGTAGTTTAAAAAGCAATTTCAGAAAATCTGAATAACTTATTCAGATGGTTTTTGTGCATGATCTTATAGTTATAAACTTATACACTTACCAACGAAACTGTCGTTGAGGTTGTCCAAATCCGAAGAGGTGTTGGTGTACGAAAACCCTACTCCAACCGGTGATTCTAAAAACAACATATTTGCTTCTGCAAGTTCATTGATTTTTTTCTCGTTAAATTCTATTAAAACATTTCATAACTTTGATTTATTTATAACCATCACTAATGTATTTCATGGTGTTAATATTTCGTAGTTAGACATAGTTAAAGAAAAAAAAACCTTGGACCCAAGAGTATTGATTGAAACTAAGGCTTGTCCCATTTTCAATCACACGAAAAGGTCCTAACTCAGATGCTGCTCCGTATCCAATAGATGAACATCCAGGACCTGCGGGACATACTCATAATTCATAAAAAAAACATAGAAAACTAATAAAAATGAGAATATTGTATAAATGACGTAAGTATACCTCCATTGAGCCAGAGAACTAGAGGTCTTGTTGGAGCTTCAGACAAGGCTTCAAAGAACCAGAAGAAGAGCGATCGTGTATTTTCTTGATTCACGTTGACATAACCTGAGAAGTGAGAGATCTTTGGATTCGTTGGTTGTTCGGGAAGATTCACTACTTTGTCTGAATTTTGTGCTTCAATGTTACAATCTTGATGACATGATAGTAACAATAATGAGATGGTAAGCAGAAAATTTAGTCTTGTTCTCGGAGGAGTCAAATCCATCTCAGGTTTTTGTAGTCTAGTTTTTTTTTTTTTTTGGAAATCGTTTTTGTAGTCTAGTTGTTTTTCCCTTTGTCTAACATGGTGTGTATATAAGTGAATGGTGATTTATTGGGAATGTTGGTTGATTGTGGAAAGTAGAGTATGTGGCCACAAATGTTAAGGATAAGTTTCACACTTCTTATTTTAATTTATGTCAAGATTGTAATGGATGGAAGATGAATGTGCGCTTCTGAGTTGTGAACAATCCATTTGCAACTCATTGTTATGGTATCACACGTAGAATAATATAAATATCATCAAAATCTTGGGAGATTTTTTTTTTTTACTTTGTTTGATTACATATCAAACTTACAATTTCCAAGTTCATTCATATTTTAAACATTATATAAATAAGTATATTAATTTAAAGACATTATATGAAATAAATCTTATCATATGTGTGATTTATGCTATTAGAAATATTTTTTTTATATTTCATTAAAGCTATTAGTGTCAGATCCACTTCTAACTAATTATTTTCAAAAAAAAAAAAATTACAATGTGTCTCAAAAAAAAATTTAATTTATAATATTATCCAATTGAAAAAACTGAAAGTTACTATCCAGAGTGCCTGATAACTCTAGTGTGTTAAGTATTATTACTGTTCAATCTTTATTTTGATATCGGTTCTGTGGAAGGTCTTAGATGGTTGTCATGTGCTAAGTTTAGCTCCACTAATTATCATGTGATTAGCATTAGCTCACTAACTAAGAACCAAGTCAATAATGAGAGTCCACATTTTACCACTTCCAACGAGGCTTAGCCTCATAATTTAGTGGACTATTAATAAACAACTTGTGCACATCTTCAGTGGCGGAACTAGGATTTGGTTTTACATGTGTCATAACTATTTTGGATATGTTTACAAGGTATATTATTAACCCTTGAACGGTCAAAAAGAGAGAGATTGACCACTTCACCACAACATTATTTTTGCAATTAAGCTTAATAACTAAATTTTATAGATTTTATATGGGTCACTTGATAGTTCTTGTAGCTCTTAATGTACTCACAAAGCTGATATATGTATTATGCATTTTTTTCTCTCTCAAATTGATTCTTCGAACTCTATGATCAAGACTGGTAATGATCAAATCCTAGTAAAATACTACCGACATCACCTCAAATTATAATGAGTTAATATTCACACAGTTCCTAAATTGTATAAGAAAAAAACTCTATTAAAATCTAGTAAAAAAAATTATGGTCTTATAAATCGACCGTCTACAAAAAAAAGAAAAAAAATCGACGGTCTACGAGATCCATCATAACCATCTAAAGTCTAAACCAATTGAATAGCATTTACCCCAAATCGGCCAACCATCTATCAGGCTTTTTTCTACCCAACCCAACCCAACCCAACCCAACCCAACCCAACCCAACCCAACCCAACCCAACCCAATCCGTATTTCTTCTCAAAAAGATACGAAACGACGTCGTATAGGTCACGAAGGTTCCGTCGCCTCGAGAGAGAGAGTCTCTTCTTTCTGTTCAAGCTTGCGAAAACTAAACTAAAATCTCTCGTCTCTCCCTGGATTTTTGGTTCCTTTATAGATTGCTTCATCTCTGCTAGATTCCTCTTCACACTCTAAATCATCCAAAATTCAAGATCGTATACACACATACACACCTTCAAAGAATCAATCTCATCTCTCCGTCTCCACTCCTCCAGCTCAAAAGCCTAAACGCACCGATCAACACCCCCTAACCTCCATTTAGGCTGAATCGTCTACTGTTAAGCTCCCAAAAAACCTATGTTTTTCTCCGGCGATCCTTCCACTCGGAAACGAGTCGATTTAGGAGGCCGGAGCACCAAGGAGGGAGACGCTCGCAAGCTTCTTGAGCAGACCAGGATTGAGCGTAGTCGCCGTCTCCTTCACAAGCAGCAGAACTCCGCTTCCCTCAAAATTCAGGTCCAAACATTCTTCAATTGATGAGACTCTGTGTGTGCAATGTAGAACCAAATCATATGCCTTTGATTTATTATTAGATACCGAACCACTCTTACTACTTGCTTCATTCGCTTACGTGGACACACACATTTGTTTTTTTTTTTCCTAAAGATGAAAGCTTTTTCAACGTTTCATGTTCCTTTTGTGGATTTAGGTGCTGACTAGTTTTTTTATTTATTTTTGGTTTAAAGAAATTCTTTAGAGGTAGAAGAGCAATGGCCGTTGAGCGCTCCAAGCTGCGGCGTAACTTCTGTGAAACGTATGGGGATAATTGCCAGAATGTCGATAGGTATTTTTCTTTGCTCTCTTAAAATTGTTTTGTAGTTACATTTTTGTCTTTTGACCCTTTCTAGTACCTTTTCTTTTTGGTATTCAGGCATTGCTTTGATCCAGATTCTAGTTTCCTTCGTCAGTTTCTGTTTTTCTTCAAGGCGCAAAACTCTGGAGATTTTGTGATGCTTGTGGAGACGTGTCGTCTACTGCGAGATTTTGCACACAGCAGTGGTATTTTTTTCAATTATCTATGCATGTTTTTCTTTCTTGATACTTGTTGGTCAGTTCATTCATGGGTTTGATCAGTGTGCTTTAACTCTTTAGGCAATTCTTATGTAAGAGGAAACATGGCCTGAGTCTGCATTTTTTTCTTAACTAGTTATCAATGGCTTTTGTTCTCTTGTGTATCTTATGAGTGTTGAATGTTGTGTGAGGAGTGCCCCCTTCACTCCAAATTAAACTCTCCCGTTTGCTGTTTACATTCTTACATTTTTTTTTCTTGCCTCAAGCACAAGCTTTTCACTAGTTTCTTCCCGACAATGTCTGAGATCTTTCTTAATGGTATTAGGAATTCTCATCATATTACAGGTGACGTTCTCAGCCTTTTCTCTGGCTTGGACTATTCTACGGAGCTTAGTTTAGTGGATTTTAGAGTAAAGAAACTTGCATTTACCTGCATCGAGGCTATACATTACAACAGGTAATAATTTTTGGTCATCTCTCTTTTATTGAGCATATCCAAGCAATAGCCCTTCTGGTATCCAACTATGATCAACTGTCGTTATCTCATGGCTTTTCAGTTCTGTTATTGAGTTTTTAGTTTTGTATCCTTGTGATTTGAATGAACAGGGAGCGTTTAAGGGACCAGCTCTTAGTTACTACTGAGGAAGCTAGCATTTCGACAGCTATCTTGATGGATGCAATGTCGTTGTTGCTAGATCCTAAGCTGCCTTGGGTTTGCAAAATAGTTAGTCATCTACAGAAAAGAAACATATTCAAACTGGTCAAAGAAATTGTGACTACGGCTAAGGTAATCCCCAATGGCTCTCCACGATTATCCACCACCAACAGTTCTTATTTAGTTGCAATCATTGTATGTTGCAGGAAGCCGCAAGAGGTCCAACTATGAACGGCAGCATCCTTTCACTAGAAAGAGTATTGGTCCTGGTAGTACCACATGTTGGCCGTGAGCTATGTTGCTGCGCTGTTGTTGATCCACGTTGGAGTTTCTCATCTATGATCCTTACCATACCCTTTATATGGAAGCTCTTCCCAACCTTGAAAGTGGTTAGTTTCTGAACTCTTGTTTTTAGTCACGGATAGACACTAAACATAACATATTCAGTATCATCCAGGCTAAAATGATAGATTTTGTTACCAAGTTTATGTTTAACAGTGAGCTAAATATTATCTTACCTGTCAGCATCTATTCATTCAAACTTTGTTAAACTTATAGTTTCATGGTCCAGGTATTTGCCAACCCAAGTCTAAGTCAACACTACATTCACCAGATGGCTTTCTGTATCCAAAAGGATAACCATGTTCTCCCAGTAGATACAAACACAGAATTTCCTGGTTATGCTTGTCTTCTTGGTAATACATTGGAAATTGCAAACGTGGTCTTGTCACAGCCTGAATGTTCATTG